CGACACCCGGTTTCCAGCGTCGTTTCTTGGATATTACTAATCGGTCTCAAATAGCAATGCTTAATTAAATAAATTCTTCGATAACAAAGCAAACAACAAATCTATTGGTATTAATTTCTATGGCGAAATTTCTCAACAATTTTCCATTGCAACATAAAAAACGTTATTAGGACGAACCATTGTATGAATCCACCAATCAGAGCCCTCTGTTTATTTTGATTGGCTACTTCAAATAATTCGCGGTAAAAGTCGGTATTTCAAAATAAGAATGAAATTTTTCGAACGTAGAACTTGCATTTACTTTATAATGGTATTCTTTACGAATTGTTTCGTCCTAACCTTATTAAAAAAAAATTCAATTACCATTTTAATTCCTATCACTCCTGTCAAAATCAAGTCAATTCGGTATTCCAAAAGCAAGATGAAATCTCCTAACAAATAAATTCCAGAATTACATTACGTTTAAATTCTGGATGATTTTACTAAAGACGCCAAAAATTTCGCAAACATTCTCGATAACTTTACTAAAATATTGCATGCGTCGTTCGAATGTTCATTGCTATGTTAGAACTACATCAGGTCGTGAATTTCCAATCCGACTCCGCATGCGCTTTGATCCCTCCACCAGGGACGTCATTGCACTCGTCGGTCAATTCGCGATTATCATGCTGCAAGATTCGCGATACAGATGGCGACATTCGTGCCCTGTGAACTTGCTGCCACGCGTGCCTCTGAAAAGAATGGAAATCATCGCTGGTCGTCTCCCCTTCGTGTACATACACGTCTGGACATCGTGGTGTGCGTTAGACGTGCAGCTCGCATACATACGCACGTGCCCCGGGGGGTAGGGTTTCTGGATCCCTCGTTCTTTCCGCCGCGAAAAGAAGGGGTTTTTGCAAGCAGTCTGTGCGTCGCGAATTCGCGAACAGTTCGGTACGTGGACGCAGTCAGTGCATATTCTTGCTCGTTCGCGAGTGGTCGTTTCTCATTGCTAGTCGATAGTCGCGAATTTTAGAGTCGTGGGAGGGAAATCGTGATAAGTAGTGATGGGAACGATATTCTTGCGAAGAACTGTTGTGAAAGTGCTGTTATATATTTTAAGAAGCATACTTGACCCCTCCTAGTTTAATCGTACTGGTAACGTGGATATTTGTGGATATTTACGTTTGATACACTACGGCCAATTTTTTGAAAATACTATCCCACCACTACTTCCTCAATTTCCCATGGTTCCTTGCAATTTTCTCCGTGGTCGAGATAATATTCACGGTAATTCAAAAATGGTCTTGGATTGTAAATATAGAGTAAATTAACCTCTTCCAGAATGTTGGCACGTATGTATACGGTTCATATGTAATTGACATTAACACACTTGATAGCTCAAATTCACATGTCTGTTAATATCTTTTGGTACAAAGATGATTCTATATTTATACGTTTATATGGACACTTAAATTAAAGATATATCTGTTCAATTGAATCTCACAATTGATTTAATGAAAGGTGCTGAAAAAGGCGAGACATGTGTATTTTTTTCAGTGGCCACATATGTGGGCACCATTATATATGAACAAATTCTTATACTTAAATCAGAAATTAAAACGCTCTTTTTTAATTAGAAAAAATTTGTCCTCGAAGAGTTTAAAGAAAGTTGGTGCAAAAAATTGCGATGATTTACGTGCACGTTGTTCGCGAGGGGTACGCCGGCAGCGCGATACGCCCCTGGTCCCCGTGGTCGTGGCAAAGGGACACACGAAGGAGCGAGAGAAGGCACCGGGTGTGCGTGAGGGCAGTGATCTCTCAGGGAGCGGCGACCTGACGTACGAACGAACGGTGTCCGATAGATATAGGATATATAACACATCACCACATTCGCTTTTCCTCGTCGCTGGATTATTTCCACGGGTCCGCGGGATGTATCGACGTTCCCGTTTCCACCGAGGTAAAGATCAGAATTCGCACTTCCTGTGTTTTTCGTGCCGCGCTGCTCGGTTCTGGCACGCGTTCTCGATGAGTGGCAATCAGGAACGGGATCAAGTTCAGTAGATAAATCTGAATCGATTTGAGTATTGCGAAGGAACGTGTAGTTTGAATTACATTAATACTTTGAATATTTACGTCTTAATTGCGTTCTTGACGGCGACACTCTTCGAGAATCGAAATTGCTCAAGTATCGATACTAACAGTTGGAACTGTTTGAATTTTAACATCGATCGATTTTGATCTCTCGGGAAAAATCGATAATTGTTAACCTCCGAGAAATATCGATATACAGAGTCGAAGTTTTTGAAAAATTGAATTTTAGCTTCAAGTGTGTATAATGTACTCTATCCTACAGAGTGCTAATTAAAAAACATTGATGTTTGCGTTGATCTCGAGCCGATTCGCGAAGAGCAAGTTCAAGCGTATAGATGTTATCGAACTATTCGATCGTGCGAGGTTAAAGAAACAAGAGGAGACCGTGTGGCCTGGGTTGGGCTAACGAGATTGCAAACCGCAGAAGGTCAGAGTCATGTGGCCAATTTCAGTGTCAATAAACGCGTACGTAACTATTTGCATTGCGTACGCCAGATTATATTTTGCTTCTTGATAATATACTTAAAAAAGTGACAGGTTTAACCAATGCTTGGAAAAAAGAGTTAAAAAGAATTATTTTGCACATTAATTATAACAACTCTAACGTTGGCCATCTGGTGGTGATTTTTCGTGATTCACCAAAATATTATCCTTATATTAATAAGTATTTTCAACTATGCAATTTTGTATTCTATGACTAAATACCAAGTTCTATATTTGTAAATAAGATGCCATGTCTATATAGACAGCCATGTCTATACCATAAGAAACAGATAGTACACGATACTGTAAATAATCGAAACGAATTGAGACTGAAATTGAATTGATTGTGGAATATCCATGCAAAGGAAGGCCAGATATGGCGGACATTGCAGTGGGGCCACCCTGCATCGTCTCCCGAATTTTTCTTCCCCATAGCGGCGTGGTACGGGGCGGGGCCGTTGCGGTGCATCGAAAGAGAAATTTTTCCGACGGTTGTTGGCCCGGCCCCACGACGGCGGACACTAGGGTGTTTCCCACATGAATGGCAGAGCAGCGAAGGCGCGTTGTAAGCAAGCTGCACCGCTGCAGTAGGCCTGTGGGCCAAGCTCCTTTCTTCTTTGTCTTCGATGTTCTCTTTATCTCAACCACTTTTACAGATGGAGGCCTCCTTGTAATCAGGAACAAACCTGTGGTTCAATGGCGGCTGGGTATTTTATTCTTATTATTTTTCGGATACTTTCCTGGGCCTATCTGGCCGCCATTTTGTTACCTAGACCAACTTATACTCCAGTTACTTATTAAACAGACAACTTTGTAAATTGGACCTTTTTCAAGTATCTTTTTAATATAGTATCAAGTAAAGTTTCTTGTTCGTAGATACAATGCATAGTTTTAGTGTAATAATGGTGGTTTAAAAAAATGGCTACCTAATGAATTCAATCAAAATTTATTTTACATACTTTAAAGCTATTATATTAATGAAAAGATATAGAAATTTCGATTCTTTGATTTCGAGAAACCGAGCTGGCCCCTTAATTCCCGGATGCAGATGCACTCGAGCCCCTCCACGGTGCCACTCTTCTAAGGTCTCCGCTAACAGGCGTGGCCCTTTCCCTTCTGGAGTTTTTCATGAGAACCCACCTGGTCTTCCATTGGCCAGGGGCTAAATGAGAATTTTTCCGATATGGCCCCTTGGTTCGACCCTCTCTTTATGCGTTTCCCCTCGATAACGTTCAACAGACTCGTTCTCATACCATTTTTTTATTAATCTTCATACTCTATACAATTTTTCGATGCATTATACGTGGTTTAAATTTGTAGATAAAGTGATTGTTGTTGGAAAATTGATCGTCACGGGGTGAAAGCCCACGTACACGGCCATTTTCCGTCTCTGGCCTGTCTAGTCGAGGAGTAGCGAGTTATTCTGGCTCAGAGGAGGCGCACAAAGCCGTGCACGGGTGTGCGTGCGCGGTGCACACACCTGCATCGCTGTTGCGCAGGTGTGCGTGCCCTTTCCTCGTTCAACTTTGCAGAAGAATTGCATTTTTCTCTTCACCATGGACAGGTGCATTCCTGTTGGACGCCTTTCCGTTTCCTTTGCCTTCATTGATGATTTCAATTACTACAATATTGAATATTCAGGTAAATCTAGTCTGGAACATGAATACAATCCGCATCTTCATGAAATCACAATTATAGATCAGTTCTGAAGCAAATAAGAATCTGGATTATCATTGGACCCAGGTAACGCAAATCAAAATGTATACAATCAAGAATCTCATGGAGTTACAATCAAATATAAACCAGTCCTGCATCGAAATTTTCTCAGAGAGAGAGAGAGAGAGAGAGGAGAGGGGAGCGACTTGGTGCATTCTGCGTTGCTTTTTTCTACACGTAGACTGTACAGCGTGCACACAGAGGCGGCTATAGCTAGGTTGAGGCCGCTGCACGTCG